TAAAAATGACGGCTAAGTAATTTAGTTTTTTAGGTAAAAAAAACTTGGTCAGCTAAAAACTTTATTTTGCAATCTGTTTACCAAAATCGTAACAATTTTTTTTGCTGTTGGAAGATTATTTACAGTTAATATATTTTAAAATTCAATTCTATATTCGCACAAGAGACTGCACAAAATTCAAACCAGAAAAATAAGATGGTAAGTTGAATCTATAAATGCCACTGAAAATACTGCTCCAAAACAAATTTGATTTTAAGTTTTTTTTTTTTGTTAATTCTATCTTATTATATTTCTTGATTTTCTTCGAAGTTATAACATTAAATACAGCTGTTGTCAACCAGTAATATTTTTTTTAAAACAGTAAACTATTAACCAATTATCTAATTCTCAAACCTTCAAAATTTATTCTTTTGATTGGTTTTTTGAGTTAAAAAGAAAGTTACTTTGTGATCATTATTCTGAATTACAAGATGCAGAGGCACAAATAAGGTGTATATTTAACATTTTAGACTTTTCCAGTTCCTTTGCTGTTATGCCATTTTTTATGATTATCATATAAACATATGACAAACGAAGGTCAAACTACGTCAGTGGCGTAAATATGTTGAACTGAACTTTTGAAAGACTTGAAAGTCAGATCGAATAATTCAAGGAACTGTTTGATATGTCATAAAAAATTGCTTATAAAGATGCTTTCACTTCATTGCATCTCAAATTCTGCTTTACTAAACAATTTGTAATTTAGATTTACGAATACTGTCTGGTTTATCGTTTTCTTTCGTCGACTTAGAAATATATAAACCAGTTTTTTCTGCTTACTGTCAAACTGAATGATATAGCAAGCGGCGCATAAATAAGCCTAAAAGTTAAACAATTAAAATTCGGTAACTGTCTAAGCTATTAAATGTTGTGTTATTAATACCTGGTTTAGCCGAGAAAAATAAAGTCCTGATTTTTCTTTAATGATAATGATAATCCTACCTCTATATAAAAATTGAAAAGCAATAATAAATTGACATTTTTTTTGTTATAGTAAGCGTTAAATGTATATAATACTTATAAACTATAATTCAATATTTTTATGTATTCCGTAATTTATATTTCAAAAGCTCTTATTTTTCCGATTCCTTTAAATTCTCTTCTGTTCCGACGAGTATTTAAAATATTGGAACACGTACGCAGTTCTTTTCTCACCTGTTCCTTTTGAAAATAAATTTAAAAAATTGCAAGTAAGCAAAGAACTTGTGTACCCACCATATTATGCTTGTTGAAGTCTTCTGAAACTTATTACAATAATAATTCAGAGCATCAGTAGTCTAAAGTGTAACTTTACATAGCAAAATTGTTTGAAAAAGTTTTAAAATTGTTCAGAAAATCTACAAAAGAAATTTACATTAAAATAAAAATATAGCACTTTTTCCAATATTTTTCTACTTTTTAAATTTATCGTCACAAAATTATGAAAAATTATCAACACATTAAAATTATTCTTGTTCTATTAAACACTAAATTATTTAACAACTTAGTTATACCGTATCAAAAATATATTCTGATATTCTTATGTGCTTCATTACTATATTGAAAAAAGACTTTCGTTTTTCACTTTTTTCTTCATTATTGGTTAAGGTTCTATTCTGTTTTTGAAAGTTCATTGAAAATAACAAAAATTTCTGTAAATTTCACTGCATTCTTCTTTTTGTCGAAAAAAACTTGAAATAATCGAAAACAATTAAAGTAAAATGTATCAACTATATTAAACATATTTGTTAAGTTTTCCGGATGTTTTCTCATTGACAACTAAAAATAGCAGCAAGCTTTAGCCTAAGTTTTATTCAGTAAATTCTTGAAATAAATCCAAAAATGTTTACGAAATTAAAGAAAAAAATTCCCACCAATATAAATTTTTGCTGTTCTCAACACTTATTGTTTACCGTTTCCTTATTTCATAACTGTATCACTTAATTACTACGTTTTTTAGCTTTCTAAAAGCTCATAAAAGTCGTTAAATTTGCTTTCTTATCTTATTTCTTGGTTATTTTTTAATTACACTTATTTATTTATTTATGTTTTGATGCTAAGAAATCTACATTTAAGAGGCAGTTGTAAAATAGGAATTATAAAAATGCTATTAAACAAAATATTCCAATCAACCATTAATTGGCAGCTATTGCAGGCAATTTCTGCTCAAAAAAATTATTTGGTAAACTGTTACAGCAATTTTAATTTACTTTTAAAAAAAACAGTTTTGGTCGAAAATTTATAACACAAATACTTTTTTCTTATATCTTTTTTTCGGAGCTCATGTAATTGTCTCTGCAGAACTTATTTGCGCTTTGTAATGCTTAAAAGAAGAGATACTGACATACTGAGTTTTTTTTTACTATACACAGCAAAATTTTCGCTTATTTTTTTCCCATTGCACTATTGAAGTATGTAACTTTCATTTGCCATTTAGACGGTTTTTTTTCAATTTTTGCTGCCGTTTACTTTTCGTAAAGATAAAATAATTTATTGAAGAAAACCTTTTTCAATTCACCGCCGGTAAATATATATTTACGTCAAAGGTCAGTTAGCAGAAGATTTTTGAAGACTCACTTGATTTATATTGCAATATAATTTTCAAGGGTTATTTTCATCAGAATGAAGTTTTAGCCAGTGTACGATAACGTCATAACTTCATAGGGAACTGTAGCAGTTGACATTAAAGTCTTAAGAGAAATATTAACAAATTTCTTAACAAAAAGTACCATCTGATTTGCTCAAACATTGCATTTAACATCATTCCAGTGTTTCTGCGGATGTCGTTTCTACCGCGAAAATTCTGATGTATGTACCGACACTGTCGTACAGTCATGTCCAGTTTAATGTTAAAATTGCTGAGCAGTTTTCTCAAGCCGGTCATGAAGTGGTAAGCTTCTGGTTGAAATTTTATTGATTGTAAAACTAAAAAAAAAAACATAAAGTTATTTAAGAAAAACAATAAACTTTCTAATACAAAATAATTAAACTGAAAAAATTTACAAAGCCATTATGATTAGACAGTAAAATTAACTGTTGCAGACGTTTCTGTTGATAAATATGGACTCACAAGTGGCGAACAGTGGATCCAGGTTAGGCAAGGTTTGAATAATCCTAATTGCAAAGCAGAAACAGTATCACAACGAAGAAAAGCTAACTAAACATTTCATTTTGATATGATACTGAAAATGGTTACTGAGTGTCTTCTATCTAAGTGGTTTTGCTATTTACTGTTGAACCGCATAAAATACAAAGAAAAAATTGCATCTTTAAGAAAAACCTATTTTGTTTTGCAGTTTTTTTGAAGTGACTGCAATAAGCGGTTTATCCCAATTTTATTTCTTATATAAAGCTTTCTAATTCAAGTGCTGTTTAGGTAATAAAATTTGATGAAGCCAACAAAAACGATACATTGCCAAAAACACTATGGTACAATCCAAATCCGTACGAGGACAGCTCTATTCTTAACTTCCGGATTATTCTCAAACTTTTTAAAGTGTCACTAATATTTATCAGCTCTTGCAAAGGTTCAAGCTTCAAACAAATATTGCGTTTTTGTTGAATGTTGTAAATGCAATCCTACTTTTTCATCCTGGTATTTTTGACTACTGAGATTTCTGAAAGTTTTAAATGAAAACCTAGTTCACATAAACTTTTGAGTAGCTCTAAATGTAACTTGAGTAAAAATTATATTTAAAAATCAGAAATTTTTTAATAATTTTTTGAGAAAATGTAGTCATTAACTGTAGTGGATGAGCAGTTTTTCAAAACGCCTTCTCGTGCACTTTGCCAATTTACTACCGGTGAAACAGAAACCGTTGTGAAGTTGGTCAAAAAAAACGATAATATTTTGGTGCTTCTCGTGAGCAGGAAGCAGACTGAGCAGTTAATTTTGCTCAGAAATTTCAAGTAACTTAACAGTGCGACAACTACCAAATAAAATAATCTACTGGAAGCATAGGTGGAAGAAAGACTCTCATTTAGACTGGTGGCCCCACCATGCTAATTGGCTGAAGGCGATGATGCCAATCAGAATCCGGCTTTTTTTGTACAGTATGTGGATGCCATATATAGTATGTGTAACTCACTGATAACGGGGAGAGATACCTCCTCACTTGTCTGATGCACAGCCTGCGCAACCCGTATAGAGTTGGTTGCATACAGTTATATAGGGAACTCGGAAGACGGAAGGGTCTTGCAAGTTTTTTTTTGAATTTGGAAGAAAATAAAATTGGTTGGTTTACCCAACCGACTGGGCGTCAGATGCTCCCTTTCATCGTAAGGCGTCCGGTGAATGCATTTTGATGAAGAGGGGATGGAAGCTGAGAAAACAGCAAATGTCCCTTTTTCGAACACAAGTAAAGAAAAGGAAAAAGCAAGTGAAGCGAATGGAGCTTAGAAAGCTTTTTTCCTTTTTCTCGCCTTCACCTGATCGCAAGAAAACTTTAAATATACCTTAAAATGCTGCAACCTCGACCTTTCATTTGGCACAGGTGAGTGTGAGTTAACGTGTTGCGTGGTGTTTGCTGGTTCTCTATTCGCAGCAAAAAATATTCAGAATTTCCATTTCTGTTTGCAAATCCCTGAGGCTAAAAGTTACCTTCTGCTATTCTTGGATGTCATTCATTGTCTTCTACCAATTAAGTGTTAATCGGTGTGCGTTTTCTTGAGCTCCAATGGATTGTTTATATAGTTTTGGTCATCGGGATCTTTCTCAGAAGTTTACGCTTTCTGATGAAGAGTTTGAGGTTTTTCTTCAAATACTTGGAGTTCTTTTTGTTTAGCGAGTTTGTTTTTGCGGCAGCGGTATAACCCTAACTGCCGATAGGAATAAAAGCGGTAGTGTGCGGAGAAGGTATTTTTAATGCAAAAAGAAAGTTTGCAGAAAAAAGATAGGGTTTTGAGTGGAAACGTTTTTTGAAAGTAGAATTTTAAAGCCAAAAAAAGTTTTTTATTTATCTTACTGTTGGATGCAGGTTCGCATGCCAGTATACGACCAAATTGCACTAGACGTGTGCTGGGAAACTAGCGGTACGATAAGCTCCGCCACTATCGCTTCTTATTATAAAGCTTTCCGGGATGTATGCGTCTCTTACTTTAACGCGCACCCTGTTAAGTTAGGAGGACCAGGCAAAGTCATCAAGATTGATGAGGCGATTTTGGCCCTCAGAAAAAATAATAAAGGAAGGATTGTTCCACATCAGTGGTGTTTTGGAGGGATCGAGAGGGCAATAAGTGCCTCATTGTTGCAGTTGAGCACAGGGATGCTGCTACCCTTGTGTCGCTTGTCCGGCAGTATATCCTCCGGAGTACTGCTATTATATGTGGGCAGCTTATAACGGCATTCAAGACCTGCTC